CCTTAGGTAATTGGCACAAGGCAAATACTGCTCCAGTGTGTTTTGGTGCCAGTGGTACCCAGTTTGGATCCTTCTACCTGCCATCTGGCGGCGGGCTGGTCGCAATAAAGCTGGTCCACCTGTTTGGTTACGTTTCCTGTGACGTTAGTCAACCCTACCACTGGTCGTTTTGGGGGTGTGGTCAACATGTAAGTGTAGCACAAGAAGTTGATGTGGTCATAACAACATTCGACAACAAAATAATTTTGCCACCAGGAGAGTTCATAAAGCTCAGCCACCAAGCAGGCAAGTGGGCCAGGGTTCCCGGATATAACTCAGTATCCAAAGAGATTGTGCTGACCCCATTTACCGAGCCTTATCCAGTACTTGCTGGTCAGCAGCTACGCCTGTGGTACGGCGAGGATCTGCAAAATTCTACTGAGGGCGACAACGGAGGAAGGGTTTGTTGCGATGTCTATGCTCTGTTTCAAGAGTGAAGCCTTAAATAAAGTTGTCGTTTTCTTATTTACCACGTTTCTATTAAGTTACATTAGGTACAATAATCAATGCAATGATCTTGTTAAAACTGTTGTATTCTAAGTTTTCTTTGTGTCTTTCATCAGGCAAGTTTCCATTTTTTTTTCACACCACTAACTTCGTATAATTTTCGCTGTTAGTTGTTGTTGTTTTTCTTGATTTTAAAAAAGATAGCATAGGTGTCACTTCACATAATGATGGTTTAGAACAAGGTGATAAACTATCTATTATATGACTGGCCAATAATTCATAACGAAAATAAATAAACATAAGAAAAAAACTTTTTCTTCTTACTTTTCTTGTTTTTGTAACCTTGGTAGGCACGAATTATGGAACAATCAGCTTTCCATTTCCTCGAAACAAGCAAGCCAAAATCCTCGTAGTAATATGTTGAATTAGAACTACAGCTTCATGGACAATTTAGATTTGAGAATTTGGTTTTCAGTCCATAAATCCTCAGCCCATATTATTCTTTCTTCTCATTACCCAGCAGGTTAAAAATGTATGGTAGCGTCGGGAGAAATTCCTTTCTGGTCAAGCTTGGGAGTGAAAGTGTGAAAATCGAACTGAATGATTATCTCACATCCTAATCAGTAAGGGCTGATACCAAAAGGGCACTTGTAAAACAAAAACGGCTACAAGCTTTCAAGTGAGATTCTTATCCATATTATTAGAAAAACAAGTTCTTCGAAAAGCATCGAAAAAGAATCATCGATTGACGCTCTTTGAGTCTGTTAAACCAGAAATAATCAGTTAAATTCGCCTGTAATGCAAGCGAAGTGTGAATCTATTATTCAGGAGCTTGCAAGAGCCAGCTGGTTCTCTTTTTCTTTGCTTTATCTTATTTTTCGTCTTGAACATAATTTATCTTTTTAGCTTAATTGAAGAATGATAGGCAATGGCACAACCCTCGAAAATCAGCCATTACCTAGATATCAAACTATATCGTACTTGTGGGAGAGATTTAAAGAATCATAAACAACTGGAAAAACAGACAAAAAATAAAATAAAAGGAAGTGAAAGGTCCTTTACGGTGAGACCATTTTCGCAATCATTCTTCCCTCCCATCCCCCCATCTAATGGAAAGCTAGTCCGTCCTTATGATTGAAAAAAGAAATCGGAATCGTTGGTGAATCATAGCTACACGAATAGAAACATTAAAAAAAACATACCATAAAACTCAAGTTTTTAAAAAATGGTTTATTTCCTTGAGATCTGTATATCTGTCGACCAATTTAAAGTTTACCATGCATACTTGCAAAGATAACACCTTTCCAATCTCTTTTATAATATCAAAACAAGAAAAACAGCAAAATTTTATTGGGTATTGGATGCAACAAAAAAACCTGCAAGCTTATATAACCCGCCACATTTCCCACATCAAAAAGCAGCAAAGTAAAGGCCAAAACATTCAGATCAAATTTTTTTTTTTGGCTATCATCTGATTATTCAAAGCCGATTTTAAAAGGATCGATCAATGAAAGCATGGTTTTATGGGGCACCTCAGACAAAAAGGGCGTAGACGTAATAGCAAACAGAGCCTCCGTTGTTGCTTTCTGACCGATCTTTTAGATCCTGGTCATAACTAAGGCGTAACTGCTGGCCAGCTAGTACCGGATAAAGCGTGGAAAATTGTGATAGTACAATCTCCTTGGATGCAGAGTGGAAAATTGTGATAGTACAATCTCCTTGGATGCAGAGTCATACCCAGGAACTGTAGAAAACAAGCCATTATCATTCGGCTTCATGAGCTCGTTATGACGACACCAACTTCATCCGCCACGATCGGATGTTGACCACACCCCCAAAGAGACCAGTGCTTAGGTTTTGTGGTGTCACAGGACACTTATCCATACAAGTGGACCAACTTTATAGCGGCTATTCCGCCGCCAGATGGCAGGTAGAATGAACCAAGCTGATTATCCCTGGCACCAAAACACACCGGGGCAGTATATATTTGCCTTTAGCCATCCATTTGCCACTAAAACAAAAAAAAAAACATGGTTATTTTTGTAATACACAAACCTTAAATCAATTATTTTGATCAACCATCTTTGGAAATTGTTAACGTAAGCCACGAAAACTCGGTCTCTCCGGCATATTTAATGCCACTACTTAATTCAATTCCTGGACTCACATTAATTCAGGTTTGAAAATGATCAACTCGTGCACTGACCTACGTACAGCTGATTTAATTTACACTTTGACGGGCAACGGACAGAAAAATTATGAAGAAACAAGAGGCTTTCCATGCTGCAATCTAAAAACGAGGTAAAGAGATTTTACATTTAATTTCCTTACATATACAAACGATATTATTAAAAAGATGGGGGGTACGGGATGTTTTTTAGATATCATTCGAATTAGATTCCGGTCAGCTGCGCCGTGATGGCTGCCACGGTGAATTTGTTGTCCGTAAAAACTTGATTGTTTTGTGTCAAATTTTGTCGAATTGCTTGCCATGCATCCTTTACAAGCACATAAGAGTATTTGTGGCCTTTGTGTGTGTTTCATTCTCTATCTTCCTAACTTGTTGTTGAACGTTGGCCGCTTGTCTACATGTGATCTCTTACAACTGGTTGGCGGCTATCTTGGATCACCGAGATATCTTTTGATCACCTGATATTTTGACCTATATTCCAGTGCCGTTCTCAAGTCAATTGGAAAAACACAACCAAAATTTCATCTTTCGAGGGAGCCATGGCTAAAGCTCTACGAGCTTGGAAGCAGGAGGCAGTTTCGTTCGAAACGAGGTGGACGAGTGAGAAAGAAACCTGTAATAGATCAAGCAAACTTGTCCGAGTGGTTGGACCACGACCTGTCAGTTCCAGACCATTTTCCTTCCTCTCCCTACCAAACTCCATGGTTTCCGTGTATTTTTCTGGCGAATATACGATCATTACGCTTCAAAGAGGATGAGCTTCAAGCCGTGGTAAATTTAAATTTAACTGGCATTATTTGTATCACAGAAACCTGGCTGGATTCCGCCGTTGCCGATTCCGCTATCCCGCTTGACGGCTCTTTTTGTTTTAGGAGCGATCGTATGGATGGCTAAGGAGGTGGTTGTACATATGTTACCTCTCATATTCCTTGTAAACGACTAGTAGACTTTGAGTATTTGGATGTTGAATCCCTCTGGCTTACAATCAGGCCCTTCCTACTAACGCGTGCAGCCTCACTAATTCTACTTGGTATAGTATATCACCCCCCAAGAATTGGGCCGGATGATAACAAGATCTTATTGGAAAACATCCAAAATAATGTTGATTCATTTCTTTGTAAACATCCTGATGGTCTTGTCGCGGTATGTGGAGACTTTAACCCGACCAGTACTGGGATTACTGAGCAACAAACTAAACTGTCCGCTGGACTAATTCAAGTGATAAAGGTTTTAACGCATGACTCTGGCACTTTGGACTGGTGTCTTACGAATAGGTCAAAATTATTTTCACCACCCAAACAGCTACCCAAGATTGGCACTAGTGACCACTACTCCGTCCTTATACGTTCAAGATCATCTCCCTCGAAAAAGTCGTCATCCATCAACTCACTACTAAAGAGGGATTTAAGACCTAGTAAAGTGGACGCTTTTGGTAGATGGATTACGGAGTATGATTTCCAAGATTTATTTAGTCTCAGGAGTGTTAAGGATAAATTTGTCTTTGCACTCTCTTTAATCGGCGTGCCGCTGCGTGCACTAAGTTTATTCAGAGAGTTCGGGACACTGGTGTCCTTGCTAACTTGCTGCCACATCGCACAACTGTGTCCCATGGATACAATCTACGCTCAGGCACTCTTAGAGATGATCCCGCAATGGCTTTTACTAACTGTCTCAACAAATTTATTACATATAGATATTCTTCGTAAAATGTTTCATGTTATTGTATAGATATGATTTGTATCCTGACCACTCTTGTAATTTAGCTGTAAGCTACAAAAAGAGTAATTGAACTTATTATTATTATTATTATTATTATTATTATTATTATCATTATTATTACTGATATCCTTCGGTATCCGTCGGTTTCATTCGGCATCATTTCGCAACGTTCGACATCATTCGACATCATCCGGCATCATTCAGCATCATTCGATGCAGGGACGGTATCTGAGCGCTATACATATCAAAACTCCTGAAAAGATGTACATGCAAAAATTCTACGCGTGTACATCACGTTTGAGGGGTTTTATAAATGTGAAGAATACCAATCCTGTTTCTACCACACTCTAAATCACTAACATACCCCTCTTACCCACTCGACGATGGCTAACATTTCCTGGAATCACGTACGATACAACATTGGTTTGGGTGGAGGGAGCGAAATGGTTGACTTAACAAGGGCAAACAAGATTAATTAAAGTAACAGGAGAAAAAAAAAACAATATGTTAACAATTTTGTTGCCGATTAATAGGCTGAAGACAGAAACCTACAGTACTGAAAACAGTCATCTCACCGACAGAAGTCATACCAGCTTATCTCAGTAATACTAAAGGGACTCCCAGGGGACAATCTTCAGTATTTCAATGCGCATTCTAAACTGCACACAACAGCAGGTAATGAGCTAATAAATGTATGTACATTGCAAGAACATATGGTATTATTTTTCAATAAATAGACGAGATGAAAAAGTATGAAGGTCTTTTACTCTTGAACAAACATGGTTACCTATCTTTTTTACTTCCTAATCCTGTTGTACAACTATCCTACAAAAATCAGAAAATTTGAGAAAAAAGTTAATTGGAACAAAAATGAGGTGTAGCTAAAAGCATAAATGAAACCTGTTAAATGGAGGATGCAGATTATGACCTTGAAAGCAAAGGCTGTCTACTATTTGAGTATTTTTTTTGAAGTCTTACTTTCAAAACCCTGTCGTGAACCATGAAGCAATAAAATGATGCGCGTGATTAGCACCAGTACAGGCATAAATGGGGTCAAATTGGCGTATCATACCTCTTTAGCAAGCATGGAGACACCTTGTTCATTGTGCAGCAACTCTTAAAACAAAGATTCGTAGGGAACATTTGAGGGAAAGTTAAAAAAATCGTTTGACGACTTTCATTTCTGAGGGATCACCTTAATTGACTAAAATTACTCTGCAAGACGGAAATTGTCTCTCAAAGGTGAACTGCAGTTTAGGTAAATGCAAAAGAAAAAAAAGGTCTGAAACATTATGCTCCTTAGACGCATATTCCTTTGATTAGTTACAATGCAATTTTTCCGTGAAGATCACGTCGTTCCTTG